ATTCATAGAACCTAATCCGTTATTTCTACGTGTTTTTTTTTTTTCTTTTTGATCCTATATGGAAAACATAATTCCACATAATTTGGAGATAGAAGCTTGTAATGGAAATTACACATGGTTGCAAGAAAGATTTTGCCTTGAATGGAGTTGTATTCACCAGAACAGTAGCCATGGCAAGATCTGTAGAGAGACATATATCTGAAGGGTGAATTTAGCAACAAAATGTAATCCTGTATCAAACTGGAAAATTAAAACGGTGCTTGTGGGAATAAAATGCTTCACCATTAAAGTCAGCCAGAATTGTGCAGGTCCACTCTCAACCAGTGATTCTCCCTCATGTCTCATGCTTTCAAACACGACCACACAGATGTGCTCGTAGCTCCCGTGTATTGGTGGCAACTCAAAGCAAGATTTGTGTAGTAACTACAAACGTTAAATAGTTTTGGCAAGTGGCCGATAAAGCTTTTTCATATGCGTTTATATTCAGCACCAAATGTCATATTCATCATTATCAGAAAAAATTAATTTATCTCATTTTCTGGGGAGGTGGGGTCTGGGCACACCTACAGACAAGCTCCTTGGCCTCTGTAGAGATGTGAAAAAATCCTCTGTACTATCGTCACAAACTGATAAAAAGGTGACATTGTCACTGCCTGGCCAGTGTCTTACCCAGCCCTGTTCCCTCCTGGAAGTACAGTGTCTGCAACTCTTTCATGACGCCCATCTACAAGAAGGGCTGGAAGGAGGATCTGGGGATCTACACACCCTTAGTCTGACCTCAGTGCCAGAGAAGACTAGGGAGCAAATCATCTTGAGTGCCATCACGTGGCACATACAGGACAACCAGGGGATCAGGACCAGCTAGCATGGGTTTGTGAAAGACAGGTCCTGCTTGACCAACCTGATCTCCTTCTATGACAAGGGGACCCGCTTAGTGGATGCAGAAGAGGCTGCGGATGTTGTCTGCCTTTCCTGTGGATTAGTAAAGCCTTTGACACTGTCTCCCACAGCATTCTCCTGGAGGAACTGGCTGTTCATGACTTAGATGGGTGCACTCTTCACTGGGTAAAAATCTGGCTGAATGGTCAAGCACAGAGAATGGTGATCAGTGGAGTTAAATCTAGTTGGTGGCTGGTCACAGGTGGTGTTCCCCAGGACTCAGTGTTGGGGCCAGTATTTTCTGCCCAGTGGAATAGGGCCTGGGGGTGTTGGTCTCTGAAGGGATTTAAAAGATGTGTCGATGTGGCACTTAAGGACATGGTTAGTAGTGGATTTGGCAGTGCTGAGTTAATGGTTGGACTCAGTGATCTTAAAGGTCTTTTCCAACTTAAACAATCGATAATTTTATGATGTGAGTTACAGCTGAGTCCACTTCCACCAGCAAGGTCCTCCAAATCCTTGCACTCAAGATCTGTGTAGAAGATGATTAGCTGGATGAGGAAAAAAACCCCTTTGACTTACTAGCTGCTGTTCTGAATCTTGGATAATGTTTTAGTTATTGTCTGTCCCCACTGACATTACAGCTATGCTTGAGATGAGTAAATGACACAAAGGTAGGGAAACCTGCTGGACCTCAAATGTTTTGTACTGGAAATGGAATCTAGCCTCTGCAGCTCATCTGTCTCATTTCTTGATTTCATTATTTTTTCTAGGCAGGTTTAAGACTCATCTGTGTGAAAACCACAAGGGGAAACCAGGGCTTAGTTTTCAGTCAGCAGAGCCTTTTTTCAGAAGCTTCCATAAGTGTCCTTTTAAAATGAAGGATTAGCAAACCTGTAAGCTGGGAAGTAAATCATAAGTCTCTTCCCAAGCTGTCTGCTTCTGTTAGGATCCCCTATCATTCAGTTTTATTTTTCTGATAATTTCTTGGCAGATGATTCTAATACAGATCAATTAAAAAAAACTCAGTTAAAAAAAAAATCCAGCGTAGTAGAAGATGGTTCATCTCTGTAGACGAAACAACCACCTCCACCTTCTGTTTTGAATAAATTCAGATTTTAACTGCAGTGGCCTGGCTTATTTCCAGTTTATAGTAATTCTATTCCATTTACCTGAAATTCTCCTTTTCATACAACTCTGATGAAATGCTTTTAATCTCTCAACTGCCTGCAATGGTTGCAAAGTGCTACAAGAGTGAGAGTGCTTATGGTAGGGACAAGTAAAGTGATTTCTTTATAGGTAGTGATAAAATTTTCAAGAGTATCCTCCACTGGCACAAATCTGTTTCCCTGGATGAAATATGGAATTTCTACAGACTCCAGTGGGAGCTGAATTAAGCAGAATTAAGTTCTTTATACATCCCAATTCTTGCCCAATATTCTGTATTGATACGTTGAAACCGTTCAGATTATAATTGGCTGGAAAGATAGAATTTAGACACAAGAAAAAAGAATTAAGCTGGAACGCAAAAAGACAGTATTGTTAAATTAGATCAGTGAGGGTATATGCTAAAGGAAATTTTATTTTCACCATGATGGTTTGTTTTTGGTTTCCTTTGACGCCACATTTTTGCCTTAAGTTCCTCTGGAAGAGAAGTAGCTTGAAGTGTCCTGTGAAAGTAAAGGAGCAGAGAGATGAAGTTAAAAATGCTTCTTGTATTTCAAGCAGAACTTTGGTACAGCTGTTTGGCAAGCACTGTAAATACTTACAACATTTCACTTCAAGGCTCAGAGGCTTCTTTTATAAGCTTATCTCCTCTATTGCTTCAAAACAGCAGCAAAACCCAACACTTTCCTATCCACATACAATGCATTACTAACTGAGTCCAGCCTGGAAACTCCCGTGGGATGTCTTCTGAATGTCCTAACCTCTAGTGCTGAGTCAGAAAGTGGAAGCCACATTCCTCTTTATTCTAGCAGCACTTTAATGACCAGAAGAGGTTTCTTACCCCTGTACCCACAGGCTGTTTTAAATGTATTTCTTTTTTATTACACTATTTAGATAATTTGCAATCCTTCAATGAAGTAAGGAATGTTATAAATATGAAGTGTCATCCCACAAAATCATACTTCTTTAAAGTGGCAATTTGGGATCATGTTCATGATTTGATGTTTTCCAGCAGGAAAGTGGCAAGAGGAACTGATGCTCAACTAAAAGACTGCAAGTATCCTATTCATCAAAAGACTGAGGACCTTCTGCACATAGAAAAAACTCAAAACTATTCTCCAAATGATTTAAGAAGCTGGCAAGTAAGAAGAGGTTTATTAATCATTGAGGTCTAACCTGATTTAACGGGAAGAGATGATGGGGTTTTGCTAACACATGAAACTGGGACAGATATTTTTCAGTTTTTCTGGATGGATCTACACCTCCCAGTTTGTTTTGGAGGACGGGGATGAATTTATAAATTCTTGAACAACAGCTTGCTTCTGTTCTAAAGCAATATCTAAAACAGGGTGCATGACAAAAGGCAAATGAAATTCATATCTTTTTAAATTAAGATACCCTATCTAATAAAAAGTAGAACTTTTATGTTATTCAAAGCTGGAAAATGTCCTGATTTACAGTTCAGATACAATTAAAAGTTTCATTTCACATCACTCCTCTTCCTCATAAGTGAATATCTGAATTGCATGCTGGAAGAAGCAACTGCGGACCTCTTCTATAAACTCAGATACAAGGGGATGATGCAGAAAAAAATTAAGAAAAAAGCCTTGCTTTGTCCCATTTTTCTAACAGAATGATGTTTTTTCCCCAAGAAATCTTCAGCCCAACACCTAATGCACTTCATCAAATGGGATTTAGATTTAGACCTTCTCTTCCAACTCCCATGTGCAAGACTGTTGGGAAAGTTACCCTAGGCTTTGCAGAGCAGAGACCTTTGGCATCTACTCTGTCCATAAAATGCTAACCTCCCCCATCCCATATACACCCACACCCAATCATTCTTCCTCCCACTCCAAACTCAAAAGCAACTGAAAACCTGAACCCTCAGTCCCAGTTTGGTTGCTGGCACTGGTGTTATCTGGCAGCACTGTTCCTCCAACGTGTAGAAGCCAAACAAATATGTATTTAACAGGAATTATGAAAATCGAAAAAGTGCAAGGTTCAACTTTTTGAAAAGCACATTCATCCTCCACATCAAAGGGCTCATTGATTTGTTGTTGAAGTCATGACCGAAGTGGAGCTAAGTGGGTGAAAAGGGGAGAAAAAGATCAAATCTAATCTTAGGAGCTGTGTCAAGCAAGTACTTTATGGCCCATCCAAAGCTGAGACATCATGAGACAAGTCCTGAATGTAAATATTATTTAATATGTCTGGCAAATGTTAGGAATCTATCTGAGCATATCCTCCAAGTGAGAAATAGCTCTCCTTTTTCTTTGCTCCCTTTTGTGTGTCCTTGAACTTTGTATCCCTTGAAATCCCAAGTAACTATTCACATTAATAAAGTGTTAAGGTGTTTGACCAGGAAGATTGGCTCTGCTGATTTCAGCAGTTAAAAAGGGAAACCGCTCTGTTGTTTTAACCACTTCAACACTCACCATCTCAGTTTATTTTCTTATCCCCTTTAACTTTTGTTAAAATCAAACAGGAAGCAATTAAGGTGAGCCTACTACAAAGCAGCCCTCAAAGTACGTGGCTGGATCTCTAGTGCAGAATGAAGGTCATGCCCTGAAAATGTAATTATACGTATGTGGAAGGAATGCAGAGCCTATACAACTGGGGTGACCAGTGAGAAAATACACCACTCCAACTTTCAGCAGGCAGATGACCATGGCCAAGACATACATTGCGACCACCACTTTCATGAAGGATGTAGGGGCAACACTAGTTGAACCAACAAGGCACATTAGATCAACAATTTTATCTACTTGAGTTAAGAGACGCAAAGGGAAGGAAGAAACAACTCCCTACTAAGCTGCAAAATTCCCCCTCATCTAACTCCCCTCTGACTCTTGGCAGGTCACTTCCATGACGACAGAAAAAGGAATGTCATGGGAATAGAGATCTAATGACAACAGTGAGAGACAAAGTGAAATCTTTACACAGGATTTAGCTAATTATATTTTGGGCAAATATTTATTTATCTAAAAACAAAATAAAAATCATTTTTAAGAGAAAAAAATGTATTTAAATAAAAAACAAAATTGTGAAATGTTATGGCACAGAAGTTCAAGACAAGTATAAATCCAGTTGCCACAACTGTTGCGTATTAATGTTGCACATTTTTCTATAAAGGCTTTATTAAAGGTATTTACATGGCAATATGATGTGTAAATATATACAGCAAACTGGGGACAACTTTTTTGTTTTGGATTCTCATATGAAAAAATGCCTTAAATACAAAATTTTAAAAGAAAAAAAGTTGAAGAGTTCATCCCCAAGCATGAAGAATGTCCCATCATCCCTTATGTCCAAAGTATCAATTATGAGGCAGTTTTGAGGTTCTGGCCAAACCCTTGGGAGAGTCAGCCAAGGTTGTGTAGTCTCAAGTTAAATCGCACAGCATGCAGTTGCAATAGTTCCATACTCAATGGACTGTGTAGTTCATGAGTGATATTAGAAACAGTAATATTTTATCATAGTTTCAGTCCAGTTTGGGTTATTCTAAGCAATGCCCAAGAGTTTCTATGCACAAGAGTTCCTTAGCTGCTCGAGTTTGTGTTTCAACTGTTCTCTCCTCCGCCTCAACTGCTCTTTCTCTGCGATCAGTCTGTGTTCATCTGACTGGATGGAAAGAACGTACTCTGTTGCTTTTTTCAGGATGACAACCTTGGGTGCCTTCTCGTTATTGGCCACCTCAGGTATCTGGTCACGCAAGGCGAAGAAACTCAGCTTCAGCTCATTTCTCCTCTGGCGCTCCAAGACGTTGTGTGTTCGCCTCTTGTCGTTCTCTTCTGAATCTGACGTGCGCGGACTCGAGCATTTTCGGTTGTTGCTAATCTGTTTGAGAACTCTGCCACTGTCCAACCTTAGCCTTTTTGCAGCTGGGTATTCAATCTTGGTGGAGGGAGGAGCGGCATAATTGTGCTGATGAATGTTGACATGACACCGTTTGAGAACTAGTGGGCTGTGGTGGAGCTTACTGTGCTCTTCTGACGTCTCTGTGCTGGACTCTGTGCTTGATTCAGATTCATTTGCTTCAGCTAATGTAACAACATCAATTTCCTCATCTTCCTCTTGTTCTTCTTCTGCCAGAAAAAAAATTAAAATAAATTCATAAGCTGTATGAAGAGACTCTCAAGGCTGCTTTATGCATAAGGGAAGGTTACTCTGAACTGCACAGTGAGCAACCCAATGACAAACTCTTCTTAAACCTATATGACGATGCTGGACATTGCTTTCCCCAAGAGCCTTTCCTTTAAGGAAGCAATACTTCAAGTGCAATAGGACACACTGACTTCGGTCCAAACCCTAGCTCCCTGATTTCAAAAATTGTAGAGATCTTGCGTAATCCCGAGGAGTGCATGAAAGATAGTAGGAAAGTTTAACCTCGGTTGTCAGCAGTACAGCGCAATAAAGCTCCAAGACTCAAGCTGCCCTTAATTATGGATTTAGAAGGCTTTGGCCACGCCTCAAAAGAAAGCTTACTTAACACACATGTGTTGAATCTCTCTTGATCTGATCTGTTAATTTGTGGAAAATCGGAAGGAGGTTAAAAAAAAAAAAAAGGAAAAAAATTAAAAAAGGGAAGGTTGTAGCTCTTTGGGTAGAAACTCACTTCCAAAACAGATTTACGAGGGAGCGGAACCCGCTGTCACATACCTAAGGAAGCATTTCTAAAACTTTCCCAGCCCCATTCACTCCCCTGCAGTCACTTTCACTAGCACCTCCCTGACTGCACATTCCCCCCGAGGCTCTCGGGCGGGAGTTAACTCCTTCCCGGCCCACGGGTGGCACTGGGAGTCAGCCTTATCGGGACCCCGTTATGAAAGTTTATCCCTCCTACACCTCCTTTTCTATTTTCGCCCCCCCCCTCCCTTTTCTCTCCTCCCTCCCGGAGGGAAAACTGGGCTGTTTTTCCAGGAAATAAACTGGCTGGGAGTCTCTCCATTCCTCGCTAACGTGGCATTTAAGAAAAATCCCACGCGGGGAAGGGGGGCAGAAGGGGGTGATGAGGGAGGCGAGGGGGGGGTTCTGACTTCAAGCTGCCCCGCCGGGAGCCCTTTTGGCGCCGCGCGGGTTTCCCACACCCTCTCGGGGCACGCGTGGGTCCCACTCACCCGAGTCGCTGCTGGTCGTGGGCGGCGTGTCGTCGCCCAGCAGGGACGCGGGGCTGGCGCCGGGTGGTGCGGCTCGCGGGGCCCGCTCGCTCAGCGGGTAAGGAAAGACCACCGAGGGGTCGATGCAGTCGGCGGCGGCGGCAGCGCCCAGGTCGTGCAGGTAGAGGCTGGCGGAGGCGGTGGGGGACGCGGCCAGGCCCGGTGGCGGTGCCGGCGGCGTGGAGGGCGGCGGGCCGGGGCGGGCGGCGGGGCCCCCTTCCCTCCGGGCAGCCTGGTAGGACGCCAGCTTCTCTGAGACCACCTTCTCCAGCTTGGCGGCGGCGGAGAAGCCGCTCCACATGCAGTCCTGGATAATGATGGACTTGACGGTCTCGTCGTCCGGATCGCAGATGAAGCTCTGGTTGACCATGTCCCCCCCGAGGAGCTCGGTCACGATCTCCAGCTGGTCGGCGGTGGAGGGGAAGCAGGAGGCGGCGGCCAGGCTGGAGCGGCGGCTGGGGGAGAGGGGTGGCGTGGGCAGCAGCTCAAACTTCTTCCAGATGTCCTCCGACGGGGCGGGGGGCTGCAGCTCGCTGCCCCGCTGCTGCGCCGCCAGGTAGAAGTTCTCCTCCTCCTCCTCGAAGTAGAAGTAGGGCTGCACCGAGTCGTAATCGTAGTCGTAGTTCTTGCTGGAGAAGCCGGCGCTGAGCGGCATCGCGGCGGCTGGTGCCTGCGGGAGGGAGGGGGAGAGGGGGGCGCCCGGGTGAGCCGTGCTCCGCCGCGGGGGTCGGTTTCCCCCAGCTTCGGCGGGGCCACCAGCCCCCCGGCGCGCAGCGCTCCCTCTCGGCTCCCCCCGCCGTGCCGGCGGGGAAGCGCGCAGTCGCGTTTAGTAATGAAAAAAAATTATTAAAATAAGAAAGGGGGGAAAAAAAAAAAGAAAGGACCCCCCTTCACCCCATTCCAAGTGCGGCGGAATAACCGGGCGGCGCGATCTGACATACCGAGGGGTCGGCTGCCGGCTCCCGGACCACCCTCCCCGCTCCCCTGCAGGAGCTTCCGCAGCCCGGCCGCCCGGCTCGACTAGGCTCAGCTCGGCTCCCCACCGCTGCCGCGCTCACAGGGGGCACGGCCGCCCGGCACGGAGGTCCTTCCCTCCCGGGACTGCAGCGCCATCCCTATCCCACGTCCCGGGAGCCGGCGGGAAGGGGCGCCGAGAGCCCGGCAGCTTCCAGCCGGGAGCCGGGCTGCTCCTCAGCCACCCACCTGGGCGTGCTGGCACTGCGCGGGGACAGGCAGCGACCTTGGCAAACTTTACCAAATCTTGTCATACGTACATATATATACGCATATATATATGCATATAAGCAATATATGCAATAACCAGAACCTGCCCGCGCATACGCGATAAGAAAATGCTTCTCCCCCCTCCCCCTCAAAAATTAAATTAAAATCCGAGCGCAAGAAAAAGGATGGGAACGCCGGAGCCCAGCAGAGGAGAGCGTCCGTCGGGAGGGACCGTCGATATCCAGGTCCGCGGAGCGCAGCCCCTCCAGCAGCCCGGGTGTCACCAGCCCGTGTCAGTCCAAATGCCACAACCGCGGGAATCGAGTGATGGGAAGCGCAGAACCCCGCAACTCACCGGCTTCTCCAACGCGCCAGCTGCGAGACGTAGCGAGGCGATTATTGCTGGCGGTGCAGGAACAACGAGAGAAAATACGCAAAAAGAACCGCCGGAAAAGACGGATTAAAAAATAATAATAAACAAAAAAAGACAAAACGCCGGGAGAATGTCGGTCTCTTCCTCCCACCACGGCTCAATAAACCCCACGGAGCGGCGGAGCAGCCGCCTCCCGGCGCGGTCGGTCGCTGGTCCGGGGCGGCGCGGCGCGCTGGCCGGTACAATAGAAGTTTAGTTGCTTTTCCTCCTTTAAAGCGCCGGCGAGGGGCGGGCGGGAGCGGCCGCGGGGCGGGGGCAGCACCGGGGGCCCGCGCGCTCCCGCCGCGCGCTCCCGCCCGCTCGCCCGCCCCCGGCCGCGCCGCCGCGCGCGCTCCGCGCTCCCGCCGCGGGAGGGCGCGCTGGGAGGGGGCGGCCGCGCTCCCCCGGCTCCCCTCCGGGGCTGCGGAGAGATCTGCGGCCCCGCTTCTACCCCCCGCCTCTGCCGGGCGGGCGGGAAAGAGGGAGGGAGCTGCGATGTCGCGCTCCACGGCCCTTTTTTTTATTTATTTTACTATTTTTTTTCCTTTTACTACGAGCTGCGCACGGAGATGTCGGAAGTAAACATAGTAAAAAAAAAAAAATAAAAAATTACTAGCAGGGATTAAAGGCAGATCCTCGCCGCTCTCCTCCTCCCGCAGGCGTTCCGGGCAAGGGAGAGCGCGGTGTCCCCCGCTGGCGGCGGAGGGGGAAGGGGCTTCACCAGCCCCTCGCCCCCCTCGGCGAGGCTCCAGCGCCTCTGGGCGAGCTGGTCCCGCAGCGCAGAGTGGTGGCCGAGGGGCGGCGGGGGAGGCGCGGGCTCCCAGCACAAAGGAGTGTATGTAGCCCGGGCACCCCCCGCCCCGGTCGCCGCTTGATTATCCCGCCTCTGCCGGCGTCTGCAGAGGATTAAGCCGGGAGAGGGCGGAGGCAGAGCCCCACGGGGGTCACCTTGCAGCCACTCTCCCTTTGGCGGTCCCCGCGTGTGCCCCCGCCCCGGCTTGTCCGCCCCCGCTCTGACTACCTCCCCCGCCCCGGGGTGACCTCCCCTCCTCTCGGCCATCCCCGAGGGGCGCGGAGCTGCGGCGGCTGCCAAGGGGACGCCCCCTCCTTTCCTACTCCCCATCGCGGGGGGTCCCGCTGGAACCCCGGCCCCGACGAGGCTTTAGCTGCCGGCGACTCTCTCGGGCGGACCCTCTCCCGCATCTTCCGCGCCTACGGTTCCCCCCCACCACCCCGGGGCAGCCGCCAGCCTCCGGCGAGCTACGTCCCGCGCATCCTGCGCTGGCCTCTGCACTCGATGGAGATGGTGGGGGACACCCTGGTGTGCCCCCCCGAAAATGCTTCTGGGCAGCTGTCCCGTCCCCACCGCGGGCACCCCGCTGGGATGTTCTATGCCTATATGTATACTTATTCCCCTCTCCAGGTTTTTGCTCAGCACCCGCGAGCACAAGCCCTGCGGGGGAGGGGGGGGTGGGGGTGGGGAGAGCAGGGCCGCCCCTCGAGGCGGGAGGACCCCCCGTTCCTCCCCTGCCGGCGCTGGGGGCGGCCCCGGTTCCCACGGCCGCGGAGCCGCTACCGCGGGGACATCGCGCCCCCTCCCGGCCGCAGCTCCCGCCGCGGCACCTGCGGACACCGCGACCCCCAAACCCACGTACCCTGGGCTACAGCACGCCCCTCTCCCCACCCCTCAAGAAAAAAATACCCCTTTCCTTTTTTTTCCCCACCTTCATTTTTTTTTTCCCCAGGCTATTTGCAGAGCACCGTTTTGTGGAGTATCTGCAAACGTCACAAAAGTATCTGCGTGGAGCAGAGGGACAGGAGAAAACTCGGGCCATCTTCTGTCCGGTGTCCCGTTGATAAAGGAGGGACAGTTTTATGCAGACGGGATGATAAAACAACCAAGAGCCATGGCATAGATGCTTCACCTGCTGACTAGGTAGGACCATAGGTGTAGATGCTTTACCTACTGACATTTTCAGAATGGGATTTACCCTTGTTCAGAAATTGCTTAAAATACATCATGCTATTTTTAAATAATATCCCCCTCTGTCTGTAGCAAACCTTACTGCTGTAAATGGAAATAACATAACTAAAGGCAGGCTTGAACTCAGCCAGAGAGGTGCAAGATCCAAATTAATCTAGTTATAACTAGTGTAAAATGCGATATGGGTACTTTTGGCTGTTTAAGAACAGCATCAGAATTGCCAGATACACAATAAATGTCCACAAAATTGTAAAAGCTGTTGAAGTTCAGCTGGAGCTGGTAGTAGTAGAAATATTTTGAAATTACTCCAGTAGAGGTAGGCTTGAAAATCATGATTGCAATATAATCATAGGCAGAGCGATTAACTGTAATATCGCAGAAGGTTATGACTCAAAGTGAAGAATAAGTAACACTAGCAGATGGACTCTTTAAATACCCTCTGTTCACATGAATGGAAAAACAGAAAAGGAAGATTGGGAGAAATGTGCTATTGAAACAATACAACCTTCAGAGGAAACAGTCTTTAAAATATTCTACAGGATTTCTTCAGGCCTCATGCAGACTGTGAGTTTGCTTTTTGTTGAGGAGCCAACTCTGAGGTGCACCAGCGTGGCTCTTACGTGGCAGTTTCAGTGTAGATGAAGAAAGACATTTTGCTCTGATTTCTTATGTTCAACCCCAGCTGAAAAAGAAGTGAGACAAGGTGTGAAATTAGAAAGTATCAATCTGCAGTAAGAAGGCCATTTTGACAAAATAGCTGTTACACAGAAATGCAGAAGTATAACATTAAGGAAACAGCAGAGTCAACGTGATTGTTTTGACATGAAGGGGTTTAGTGATCAATAGGAAATGGGAGGGGACTGAGCTGGGAGCCTGGATGGAATTTACGTGTGATGGCAGAGTGGGAACCCATGAGAAGCAGAAACGAAAGTAAAACCTGAGAGAGTGATGATGGCGGGAAAAGCTCTCACACCTCTCTGTCTGGAAACCCCTGAGACATATCATAATGCGCTGTGTGCCTGTGCCACCTACTGCATGTTTTGTTTTCAGGAAACATCTGCAATTTCTTTTTCAGATGACAATAAGCTGTCTAATAGATGTGGGGTCACCATGAACTGCATCCAGCTCTAGGGCTCCCAACATAAGGAGGACATAGACCTGCTGGAGTGAGTCCAGAGGAGGCCACACAGATAATCAGAGGGCTGGAGAACCTCTCCTATGAGGAAAGGCTGAGACAGCCTGGAGAAAGGAAGACTATGGGGAGATCTTAGAGCACCTTCCAGTACCTAACAGGGGCCTAAGAGAAAGCAAGTGAGGGACTTTTAACAAGGTCATGTAATGGTAAGATGAGGGGAAATGGCTTTAAAGCGAGAGTAGGTTTAGATTAGAGACCAGGAAGAAATTCTTCACTCTGAAAGTGGTGAACAGGTGCCCAGAGAAGTTGTAGCTCCCTCATCCCTTCAAGTGTTCAAGGCCAGGTTAGATGGGGTTTTGAGCAACCTGGTCCAGCGGAAAGTGTCCCTACCCATAGGAGGAGGATTGGAAATATGTGACCTTTAGGGTCTCTTCCAACCCAAACCATTCGGTGATTCTGTGGACTCATAGCTGTCTTCAGAAATTTCTGCTGAAACTTTCACTTGACCTCTCTGTGGCTTTGCAGGTTCCTGGCCTTCCACCAGTGAGAAACGGGAAAGCACTAACTAGATATTAATTAGTCCCAGACAGTCCTAACTACTTGAATGAGTGATATACCCAAACAAATGTGGTCAGTGCAGTCAGAGCCATGAAAATAGGTTAGGGCACCTTTGCATAGCTGATAGCACCTGTGAATTATGTCTCCATTGCTACCCCAAAGGCACCAGTCCAAAAAGCAGAGCCAAGAAGAATCAGATTTACCTTATTACTATAAAAGCCAGAAAAGAAATGTGTTACTTTTTCATCTCTTTCAGCAGCTGTAATTTCTTTAACAATAGGAGGTGAGATATGTGTAGGCAGAGACTGACAGTGTTTCTGCAAGCTGCACAGCACTGACTAAATTAATAACATCTTGCTACCCCCCTCTTCCAGTCTCAGAAAGACTCATCTACTGTGCTAACAAGTACCTTCTCAGTGGACTTCCCCAGCACAGAAGAGAAATGCAGACGTCTGGGAGGGCCACTGTCCTTGTCTGTTTGCCGTGGTGAAAAACAGAGTCTGAAATATACCTCTTGTCAAAGATGGAGAGGACCCAGCACCACCACAGTTTCCATCCAGCTAGCTCAGTATGGCAGCCCCAGCCATAGTCTTTAGAATGCTCATAAAATGTGCAGAAGAAATCAGCAGGTTTTATAGATGATGTGTTATCAGTAAGTATGAGTGAGAGAATGACAGCAGTATTACAAAATAGGAATAGACAAACTAAACTAAACTAAAATGTGCTAATTTTAAACGAGGGGTAGCACATATCAAATACTAAAGTCTTGTCTGCTGTTAGAAGCCAAGGCTGTTTTCATCCTTGCCTTGTGGATGTCCATCTTCAGGCAGTGATGTCATGGGGTCACTGAAAGTGGCATCTGGTGTAATTTATTTATTTGACTCTCCCTCATCCTCTCAGCTATGTGCCGAAGAGTGTGCAGCTTCTTCCTCTGCACCATGCCAGCCTGTGGTCCTCACTATGGAAAAACTCAGGCCATTTATTCCCAACAGGAAAAGGGAAACACACAGAAGGAATTAGATGAAAACTGAATGGGGAGAAGGCTGTTATGGTATGTTAAATTACTCTCCCCATAACTGCAGTGAGTACCACATCCCTCACAGAAACCCATGGAAACTCCATAAAAGTAAATTTTGTCATCAAGAGGATCAGGAGAGAGCCTGAACTGATCCTTTGGCTTGAGCAAAACACAGAAGATTCAAAATGATGCTTCCCTGAACCCAGAGTTAGGACTTTTCTTTCATTCTTTCATTTATAAAACCAAACATTTTACATGTTAATTTTTCAATCTGACAGTGCATATGAAATAGGGCTTTTTTATTATTTGTTAAAACCAAATATTTCAGGTGTTGATTTTTTTAATCCAACTGCATGTGAAAGCAAATCTTCAGTGAAACATAACCATTACCAATTTTTAAAGGTGATCTGGCATTAGACACATGTGTTGGTATATATTTGTCCCGCTTTTCCTGTTCTCTAGGATCATGAAATTGAAGAAGACATCAGATT